TATGCAAAGGTGACATTCTCCAACCAAAGCTCGGACCTTCCCATCAGGAGCTCTGATGGCAGCGCTGCGGTTTACTCTGTGGTCCAGAACGTGAGCTGTGATGCGGACGAGCCGCTGTACTCCAACAGCTCGTAGCTCCAGAGCTGCTGCCTCATTTCCTCTGGCAGACGTCAGCAGCTCAGCAGCAAGCTTCTGCAAAGGGACCTTTGGTTTACAGCCACCAAGCTGCTTGGACTCTCTCTCTCTTTCTCTACATTTTTAACCACAATTGTTTATTTTTGCTCATTTAAATATATTTTTAATCATTTTCTAAAACATTTTTTATATTTTACATTTTTTGTTTTTGTGAAGCACCTCATGATTTTTATCTTGAGAGGCGCTATAGAAAAGATCTTTTCTTCTTCTTCGGAAAGCCACACACCTGTCTATATAAGACCTACAGCTCACAATGCATGCCAGAGAAATTGAGAATCATGAGGTCAAAGGAACTGCCTGAAGAGCTCTGAGACAGAATTGTGGCAAGGAACAGATCTGACCAAGGTTACAACAACATCTCTGCTGCACTAAAAGCTCCTAAGAGCCCAGTGGCCTCCAGTATGCTTAAATGGAAGACGTTTGGGAAGACCAGAACCCTTCCTTGAGCAGGCTGTCCATAAACAGTTGGCAGCTGTAAGGTTTGAACAGGATTAGGCTTTCTTTTGTAGCTTTGAACTGAACCTTTCAATAAAAGGAAAGATAACTTTTTTAATAGAGGCTGAAAATTCCCAGAACAACATTTATCTCAATAACAAAAGAAAAGAACTAAGAAACTCACCAATCGTATGTCTTTTGTTTTAATGGAAAAGAAAAATCAATTCCTAGCTATTTTTGAATCAGTTGTTATTCAGTTAGGTTCTGCTGCCACTCAGTCATCTTATATTAGTACCTCTCAGTAATTCTGACCTGTGACTGGGACACTGGGACAGGTCGAAGCCAACGGTGGTAAAGGCTGTTCTGGGAGGGCAAAGGGTTTGTTTATTCTGCACGGAAGACGACTTGTGTTTAAATTCATTTTCTTTTTTTCTTTTTAAAAACACTGAAAATATTCAACATTCAGAGAACGCCAAAGCGTACCCCAACAATGACAACAAAACAAAGAAAACAGTTTAAAAAAATAAAAGAACTGACCCCAAATCTAGCCAAACAGACATAAAAAAGGCAATATGGCAGCCAACAGGTCTAGAAGAGCCCCGACTTCTTTAACACGTCCATTTCTGCTGGTTGAGTTCAACCTGTAGAGACGACCAATTAGAAGGCAGGAAGCAAAGCTCAGAGAAGAGTCTCAGGAAGAACCCTCCTGTGTGTAAAGACAGAAACACTCAAGTCACACCCAGGGCCAATTTCATCCTCCAGTACACAAGTCTGCATGTTTTTGGTTTGTGGGATGAAACCTGATTACTCAGAGAAAATTCAGACGTTCTTACAGAAAACAAAAAAACTTCCATCTGAAAATCTAACAAAGAAAGCTACAGTTTGACACTTCTTGTTACTGTGGAGTCCACCTAAGGTGATGCTTTAAAGCCTCCAATCAACATAATATGCATGTTTTTGGTCTGTGTGAGGCAACCTGGACATACGCCATACATGCATGAAGAGAAGATGCTAAAGTCATGCAGAAAAGCCACATCAGGGGTCCAAACATGTGACCTCACTGAGAAGCAGCAGTGCTTCCACCTAGGAATTAAAGTAAATACTGTATGTTCCATTTTAACAATGATGTAAACAAGTTACATTCAGTCACCTTTCCGTAACTATAGATATTTAAAATATAAAATTAAAACTTTTTATTTGAACACATTTTAAATTGCCATTCATCTATCTTTGTTCGCTTATCAGGAGCCAGGCTGCGGGGGCAGCAACCTAAGCAGGGAGGCCCAGACTTCCCTCTCCCCAGCCACTTGGGCCAGCTCTTCAGGGGAAATCCCAAGGCGTTCTCTGGCCAGGTGAGAGACATAGTGACTCCAGCGTGTCCTGGGTCTCCCTTTAGGTATCCCCTGTTTGGATGTGCCTGGAAAACCTCACCAGGGAGGCGTCCAGGAGAAACACTAATCAGATGCCCGAGTCCACCTTAATTGGCTCCTCTCAATGTGGAGGAGCAGCGGATCTACTCCTGGCCCTTCCTGGATGACCAAGCTTATCATCTTCAAGTAAGAGCCCAGACACACAGTGGAGAAAACTTATTTTGGAGCTGATTCTCATCCCAGCTGCTTCACACTCAGCTGAGAACCCCTCCAACGAGAGCCGGAGATCACGTTCTGATGAAGCTAACAGGACCACATCATCTGCAAAAGCAGAAACCCGATCCTCGGACCACCAAAACAGATCCCCTCAACACCATGGCTGTTCCTAAATCCTGTCCATAAAAGTTAAGAACAGAATCAGTGACAAAGGACAGCCTTGGCAGAGTCCAAGCCGACTTACTGCCGGCAATGTGGACCAAGCTCTGACGCCGGTCATGTAGGGACCTAACAGCTTGCATCAAGGGGCCTGGTACCCCATACTTCCAGAGTAGCCCCCACAGGGCGCCCAGAGGGACACGGTCGAGCGCCTTCTCCAAATCCACAAAACACATGTAGATTTGTTGGGCGAACTCCCACGCACCCTCCAGGACCCCCTAAAGGGAGCTGGTCCAGTGTTCCACGGCCAGGTTACTCCACAAAGGGTCCCAAATTACAGCATAGCTCCGGAAGGATCTTATTCAGGAATCAGATCAGTGTGCTCACGGAGGATGCATTTCCTCCAAAGATCACATTCTGCAAAATCCTCCAATAACAATAATATTAAGAAGAAGAAACAACCTTTTATATACCACGTCTCATGCAAAATCATGAGGATTCACAAGAAAAAAAATGTATTAAACTAAATTAAAAACTGATTAAAAATGGGAAGAGTAAAAATTGTGATCACAAAATAACACAAGATCAGCCATTCTACAATGTCAGATTCCTGTCGGTCGCAGGTGTTTTAGCACCAATAATGTGACACAGCTGTTTTATTTATTGAGTAAAATCATTTGTGGAGGAGGAACATGCTTGGATGGCTGAGACCTTTGGTGTTGCGGTTCCCTTGTTCTACCACTAGCTGTTTGTACGCATGGTCTGAGGTTTTCTTAGGAACATTTCCACGCACGACTACAAAATGCTCAATACCACACAATGCGTAAATTAGTTCCTACACACGAAATCTGTATAGGTCTGAGAGTAAACTAAGTACGGTTGATAAAAGGGGCCCCAGGAGTTCTGGGCTGCTGTGGACTAAGTTGATCAGATGTCTGCACTAGGTAGGGTATTGATATGGTGCTCCTGGAGGAGTCCGGGACCACCAGGTCCACTAAAGATGGGTGCACTGGCCCAGCTCAGAGATAGAGCAGGTCAAAAGCCCCTGTACTACTCAGTAGTGAGATTGCACCTGAGAATAGTTGCTGTAGTTCAGCCTGAGTAAAACGGTGAGAACGAGTCTTTTATATTCATCGTTAAACTATTGTCACCTCGCAAACACTAAGTAGGAGTCCTTACAGCAGCTCGTTTGTTTTATTGGCACCTCTGTTTGTCCTACAGCGCCTCCATCTGGGCAGATAACTTTCCTTGTTAAAATAAAATATCTTTTTCTCTTTTTTTAAATCCTTCACATCACCTTCATCTTTTAAACCTTTTTTAGATTCGCCTCATTTTTCATATTTTATTAGATTTGACTGACTTTTACATATTTTACTGTTGATTGGAACTTATTTATAGTTTTAACAATAATAACAAATAATAACAATATAACATATAATAATAATAACAAATCCATGTTATCACGAGATCTTATTGTTCAATCAGAATGAAGGTGGTAAAAACTGCTGCCACCTAGCAGTTGCACCACACAAGAGAAATAAAGTAAATGTTTTCATGTAAATCCTAAATAAAAATATTTAATCTGCATTTTCTATTTAATAACTGAACATTAAATATTGCAATATTTCAGTTTGTTGTTATTTTCTAAAATCCCTATATTACGTCCCCGGCTCTCTAGGAGAGATGAGGAGGGGAGTAATAAAAGTAGTGTGTAGGTTAAATAATAAGCAGAGTGCTGTGTCGCTAAAATACAAAGAATTTTATTACAAAAAAATTGAATATTTACAAAGGATGTTAGAAAATCTATATACAAAACAAAAGGATATATATATATATATATATATATATATATATATATATATATATATATACAAAAAGGAGATAACGAAAAGCGCCAACCCAGAAGGGGATGGGGATAAACAACCGAGAATATTAATATTTATACAAAAGGGGAGATCCGAGGTCAAAGTCAAAATACGGTCCGAAGTCAACAAGGCCAAACCGTCAAATCCTATTAATTCAAATCCAAATTCCAAAAGAGTTTATACCAAAGACTAGCGAGCAAACCGAATATTATCAAAAGAGCAGACGAGAAGAGAATAGTATAAGCTCCTAAGAGTTTACACTACCCTGTACCTTCTCGTTGACTGAGGGCCGGAGAGCAGCTTTTAACAGCTGTCTAGTGGTTAACGCTGATTGTAAACAGCTGGGCACTGGGAGATGGGCGAGGCAGAAGCCGCTGGGGCCATCCTGTGGCCAAAAAGGGGCACGGCACGTAACACCCTACTTATATTCCTGTAACATCTGTCAATTATGGTTATCGGATTTAACTGCAAAATAAAATTGGATATTGATATAAGCCTACGTTTTCACACTGGTGCATCCCTGCTTTATTCTTGATGGTCTTCCTCATCTGTGCTATCTGAACTTTCGTGCATGTCCTGAGGAGTCCATTGTTCATTCTCATCATCTTCTGTCAACTACTCTGTCTTCGTATTATCATCCATTATCATGTTGATATTTTAAAAGTACTTTCTCTTTTTCACCTTTTTCCTCTAGTATTATTTTTAATCCAAAAACTAGATATTAATGTAAATGTAGCATACACATTAATATTCAATTCAGTTCAGTTCAAAAATACTTTATTAATCCCAGAGGGAAATTGATATTTCAGAGGAAGTGTTATTGTGGAAATACTCTAAATGTATAGATGTGATTTCAGTGATTAATTAGATTAATTAAGTCAACAAAGTAGCATGTGTTTGTATTTTAGTAAGTTTTATGTAGATTAAATTAGAAAAATGACAATTCAGGGAAAAGCACATTTTATACAGTATCAAATTTGATGCAGACAGTTTTACATGGCGGGGTACATTGACCGCTGGAGATGGGCACCAGACCCCCCCCCCCCCCCCCCCCCCCGGACAAAGCGGGTTCAGACACAATGGGTGGGTGAGTGGATCGTTTACCAGGCGCAGCCATGTTGGGAATGATCAAAATGATCAAATGATCAAAACTAAACTTGATCTGCCAGTATTGGCATTATAATCCAGTAAGGGGCAGAAAACATGTATCAGATTATATAAAACAGGTTTTTAAGGCAAATATCGATCATGTTGATGAGATAGAAGTCTCAGAAACTCATGGAGCAAATATGATGCAAATGGCATTACGAATCTGTGTTTACAACACATTCATATTTCTTGTATTTTGTGTCCATGTGCAGCAAGGCTGATGTAGTTCTAGCTGTTGTCCAGAAGGAGGCGCTGCAGCACATGGCTAAGCAAAAAGTAGAAAGAAATCCTAAAAGAAAGAAAAGCTAAAGGAGCTAGTGTAGAGCAGAGCCGAGTTGTGACACGCTTTGAACTCGCCGACTCGCGGTCACATGGTTCATGGAGCTCGCAGTAGTTCCAAACATCCCGGCGCCGTACGTCAGTTTGAACCATAGGTTTGAACAGCGTATGGTGGGACAAATCACAAAAATTGAATATAATCACATTTCCCCTGGCGATTTGTGGTAATTATTGAATAATATTGTATTATATATTATGTCCTAATTCCTTCACAAAGTAGCCTATTTATTTTTTTCCGAGCATTTGTAGGAAGCAGGGCTGCCAACTTTTGAACATTTCAAAGAGTGAGACGGGGTCACGGGGTCGGGAGCGGACAATTCGCCGACCGTCTAGAGCCGGGGGAGGGGGGTATTAATATTGACTTTATTTATTTATTTCTACTCTGTACGGAAGAGGATTAGAGCCACTGACAAGGAAAAAAAAAGAAAGAATTCTTACTTTTTTCTCAGAATTCTGACTTTTAACCTCGGAATTCTGACAGGGAATTCTGGGGAAAAAGTACGAATTCTCTTTCTTTTCTTCTTTTTTTTCTTTTCAGTAATCCACAAATACTTGGCTTTTTATAAAAGACATAATTTTATTTTAAAATAATAAATTCAGCAAACTGAACACGGTGACAGAGGATTGTCCTACAGTAGATGTGTTTTGTGTGTCTGTGGCTTTGATGGAGGCTCACAGTTCAGGTTCCAGCTCTTTTGATAACACTGCACGGTCCAATCCACAGCCCTGCTGCAAATCCACACCACCAGAACCTCAGCTGGACCGTACACACACCTCGTCGTAGTATTTGTGAAGCATTTCCAGCTGAGCCGAGCGCACCAGGATGTGCGGTCGAACTGATGCGAGCTTCTGACATGCCTCCTCTGGAGTCCAGCAGTGTAACTGGAAGAACAACACACCATTAAAACTGTCATTTCTTTAGTGTGGTTTATGAACGATTGTAACGTTTTGTTTTGCCCTGGGAGGCAGTGACTTTGGAACTTAGGCGGGTAAATACATACACATAGACAGTAATCTAGTATTGTAACCTTCCACCACTAAAAGCCATGAATGGGAGACGATTTATCATCACTAATTAAAAACCCCAGTTAGTGACATTGGCCGATTATTTTGTTTACTAAATAATATTTTTGAACTTGTAAAGTTTCTTTTTGTTCTTTATGTAAGATAGGAACCTTATTTTAGGGGTAATTCAACAACAGCTTTTGTTAAATCAGAAAATTAAACAAAAACATTTTTAATGACCTGACTCAGTCTCCCAGCTATGTTTACTCTCTGTCTGATATTTAGATACTAATGGGCTCCTATCCTGGTCTTCATAGGTTACTTTCCAGGTTTTATTCCTTTCCTGCTCCATCACACCTGATTCGATGGTTGCATGATCACCTCTTCAGCATCTCCTCACGTTCTCCTGAAACCTGTTAATAGCCCATTCATTCAAATCAGGTAACTAACCACGCAGGATCAAGACCAGAGACCATCTTTTAAAGACACAGCAGAGACAAATACAACATTTAGGCTGTGACTAAAAGTTCAGAGGCGGATTTAATCAGATGAAAATAAGACTGGAGCTTTACATCAACTATACCTATACGATGGTTAAAAACCTCCTCTTGTCGTGTTTACTCTAATTTTCTGATCTGATTACTCCTGCTGTTAAGAATGGATTTAAAAACCTATTACGGACCCCTGATGGTTCTGTACTGACCCGTATGAGGTACGCAGCAGCGAGTGTGGCGCTGCGGCAGCGTCCTGCCTTGCAGTGGACATACACGCTGGTTCCCTGCTCTCTGTGCTGCATCGTGAACTCCACGCCTTTGTGGAGGTTCTCCAGGCTGGGAACGCCGGTGAGGTCCACAGTGCTCAGCCTCAGCTGCTCCACACCAGCAGCTTTCCACTCCTGCTCCAGAAAAACACAACCTAATGAGCCGACTAACTCCTGACTCGAGTAATGTAGCTAATTCACATTTTTCAGAAACAGAAAAACATATTTTCTAAGAATCTTACAAAACATATGTAGACCAATAAAACTAATATGTTTCAAAGTTGTTCATGTTTATCTCCCTAAATCACATGATAACTAGCTTGTATCTTCAGCTTAACTTAAACCAGGGGTCGGCAACCTGTTCCCATCAAAGAGCCATTATTACCCGTTTCCCACAGTAAAGAAAACACTGCAGCAGCCGCGGCGTTGTGGGCGGGGCCTACCCTCAGACAGCAGAGAGCTGCTCACAACAGGTAACAGCAGCCGGTACTGGTCGCTCGTGTACGTCAAAGCTATCTTTCGTGAGACGATAATCAATAAAACGATTTATATAAAGTGGATCCAGAAGTTGTAGCCCGTCTCTGCCTACAATATTTAGATATTTTTCACCCTGTTGGTGGTTTTACTGAGCAGGTGCCACTTTTGTCATACGTTTCTTTTTAAAACATGTTTAGACTGTTCAGAATACAAATCCAGGCTCTGTCACGTTTGATTGTTGTAATTAAACTTTGTAGGTGTTGAAGGTCAGAAAAGGATCCGATCATTTTGTTTTTCCCTCATTTACAGTGACAGAGATAACGGCGCAGTGCGCCTGGCTCTGGTGTTAATCAAGTTAAATTTGATCTATTTTCACAAGAAAACAGATAGTTCCCATATTTGGCCGTTTATTTTGACGGAGAAAGAATAGAAAGAATTACCCCGACACAAGCAGACGAACTGACATTTTATTCTACGCACATCGCAGATGTAGCTAAATCACTCAAGAAAAGATTTCCTTCTGAACATCTGAGCTGGACACCGCTCAGAGCAGCTCACTGTCAGCGCGTACGTACGGTGCACAGCGAGCTGAAGATGTGGAGAGGGGCTTGGAGCGCATCACAGAACCATAGCGCATGCAGGAAGATTCCTCCGACTGAAGTGAGCATTTTCCAAACCCTGTCTCTCAGAGAGACTTGTCACTTAGAAAATGTTCCCTGATTATGAAACTTTGGCTGAATAGCGCTTGTTCCTGTCTCCAATGTGGCGACACATCCATGAGTCTGTCTGAGGAGAATCCCAGAATCTCACATCCTCTTCAGCTCAGAAAGCACCTATATGATTACGCACAAGCGTGACGCGTCAACCCGGTCACACAGTAGACCGGGTTGGACCTGTTCAGGTTTACGCAGACAATCTTTACATTTAGAATTAGCTTACAGATGTAAAATTTATGCAGTAAAATATAAAGCATTTTATTTAAATATCCAGTCATTATTTTACAAGCACAGAGAGCCACATCAGATGGATGGAAGAGCCGCATGCGGCTCCAGAGCCGCGGGTTGCCGACTCCCGACTTAAATAAATCACACTCACCTCAGATGAGTTGCAGAAATACTTGGTTTCGTACTCCTCATTCATGGTAATAACCCCTCGAACATTTTCTGATTCCACCAGCTGCAACACAAAAAACCGTCAACACAGTCAGTTCTAGAAATCTAAATCAAAATTATGGAAAAAAAGACAACCAGAAGTTTTTATTTCTGATCCCATTTAGATGGATTTCAAGCTGTGGAGGATTTCAGTCTTTTCCCTCAAGATGGAGGTTTTGAATTAGCAGAGTGAAACATGGTTTTATTCAGCTAAATGAAATATGATGCAAAAATCTTAAATGTTTGCCAAAGTCCACAATCCTAAATTGCTCGTGATCTGTTTTTTATGATTTGGGTTTAGCTTTTCTAATATTTGTCTTTCTCTCTTTAGCATGTATCTTGATGGTGTCCTGAGTAGTTCAGTACACGTTCTTAATAAGCTTGGAGGTTGTATAATAACTATTTTTTAAACTTTGTTACCTACAGTGCTTAAACCTGATATAGGTGGTGACTTTGCACATCTCTGAAGGCACATCTCATGCAGTACTAAGGTTACAAAGTTTACTTTCTTTTTCAAATGTAGCATTCAACAAGTCAAACTGCATTCTGTCTGAGTTACAGATTCTACATAAGAGTCACGGATACTGTCAAGGCAGCAAAGACGTCTGGCTGTGAGCTAAAACATCCTGACGTCTCGCAGATAAGCCTAAAGTTAAGGAAACACACTTGATCTTTGTTCAGTGTTTTATGGTAAAGTTCCAGTGAATTACATTTGATGTTTCAGCTCTGTTGTGTTTTTTCAATTATATAAATGATCAACCTATACAGCATAGTACAATTAAGTACCAATTGACAGTTTAGTTTGTGAACTAAGCACGCTGATATCACCATTGTGGACCAATCACATCACTCTATCGGTTTGAAACCCCTATAGAGAGCTGTGATCGGCCAGCCAGAACGCTGCTAGGGGCTGCAAAGGTTCCAATGGAGCGTTCCTAGACCAAACTTTGCAGAGCAAATTTTGGGTCTAGTTCACTAGGCTACAACCAGTGCAGAGACATTAGAATAGGAGTAATGTGAGCTCTTCTGTTGGCTCCAGTTAGAAGCATCACTGCAGAGTTCTGGACAAACTGAAGGCGGTCAAGGGCTTCTTTGTTAAAACATGTGAAAAGTGTGTTACAGTGATCTAGACGGGAGGAGATAAAGGCATGGATAACCGTTTCAAGTTCATGTTTTGACACCAACCTTCACAGTTTAGAGATAGTTCTTAAATGTTAAAAGCTGTTTCAGACCAATGTTTTTCAGTGACAGACTACAGAAAATAATTTAACAGCTTTTTATAATTTAGTCAGGATTGTTCTATAAACTTATGCAAATATTTTTCATATTCAATATTATTTTGATATAAAATTTGTTGATTTTATAATAGCTTCTGCATCGTGTGACTTAGTAATATTTTATTTTTACATGGTGTCTTTTTTGTGAAAGGTTCCAGATATGTTGTAGTACTTTTTGGAACATTATTGAAAGATCAAGTTCACTCATTTTTCTACACATCTGGTCTCTAGTATATGCCTTTTGAGTTGATCTCTTTGGGGGTTAAAGCTTTTCCAGGAAACAGAAGTTAGTTGGAGGGAAGGGAGTAGAAAATTACAGGATTTGGAGTCCTACTCAGTTTTGTTTACCGATATTCTGACGGCTGGTTTCTCATGATGGAGGCCCACCGTGCAAGCTGCAAAACAGCAGGAGACAGCCATCTTTTGACCTCCAAAAATTACTCTGAAAAATTACCGTTTAGCATGCTCCTCAAAATGAAATGGTATTAACGCCCCTGCATCTAGCCCCATAAGTGATTTTTGCCTATAAACAGAATTAGGTGTTGTATTTTAACCCTACAGAAGTATAAAACTCAGTTTACTAGTGGCTCTCTGACCTGTTTGGTCATGGATCTGAACGGAAGCGCTCCCAGGATGACCGTTTCGTCCACCCGGTCGAACCATCGCCTCGAGGACACCTTCTCCATGGCAACATTGTAGGCTAAAGTTGGGTAGAATAGCAGCCTTGCAAACGCTCCGGACATGGTGAAACTTTCGGTAGCAACAAATGTCTTCTGGACACGGTCAACGTTTCATTGCGAGAACGAAGGGTTACGTTCTTGCTGTCAAAGTACGGTTGGCAGACTACTACCAACATACATGCCTCTGGTTCTAGTTCCATTTCCGGCGAGATCTGTCCAACTTCCGGAAGGAACCCTTCAAATTAAAGCAATCTAATATATATAAATACCTGGATTTTTTTATTTATTAACTAGATATTTATATATAAATCGGTATTTTTACTTTTTGCCTTCATAAATAGCAACACATGGGTCCTTTAAAAAACGACTTTGAAGTTGTGAGATATGGTTGCAGCATCACCACCTGCAACCACCAAACAACCTGGGTTGCTCAAAAATACATCAGGATCTTCATTAGTCGTGACAAGTTTCAAAAGCAGCACTAATGACAATTAATGAAAAACTAAATACCTTTGAGTCTTTTAATTTTTTCCAAGCATGAAAAGTCAAACACTTGAGTTTAGAAACTAGAAGTTATAAAAACTTATTTGTTCTACTCCTTCAAAAGACTTCTTCCAGTCTTTTGACCAGAGGTGAAACAGCTTATAAGACTAATGTTGTAAAAGGACATCTACTACATCACACACATCTCGAAGGATGAGCCAGTGTTGGCTTAATATTAAAGTTTGATTTATTTGACCAAGTTTTCAAAGGGTAGAGAAAATAAACTCAAACATCTTTTCTTGAAGCCAAGAAAGAGGTTTCCGTAAAAACCCAGATAAAACAGAATCTGCACAGCAACCTTAAAAAAAAAAAAAAGGGACAAGCATAAATTTAACACAGTGTTCCCATACAGACAGTTAAAAAGCAAACTGTTTTTATTTCATAAGTTTTTTTTCCAAATCTATCATAGTAAAAATAAATTCACCATGAAGATAACAGTCTTGATGGTCCTAAAGATCTATAAAAAGGAGGTACAACTTATATACACAAATAAGTACACGCAATAAAACAAAAAACAACTGATTTGAAAGGACCAGTGTTAGTCTGTGTAAAAAATACACATGTTGCAATATATATATATTTTTAATTTAAAAGTGCAGAGTACTATAATACATTTGGCCTATAACACCAATTGCATAACTTCAGAAAGCCACGCTGTCAACAGAGGAAAAAAAAAAAACACATGCGCAATTTATCATAGACAGCCAACATCTCAATAATGGGCTAAATCCGAGACCCAAAATAGTGTTCAATTATTTTAGAAAACAAGTTTTCCCTTGACAGTGACATATCAAACACAGATTGCAGCATCAGCATTCGATGTCAGATTCCTAGTGAAAAACTAACTTCATACTCAGTATACTGTTGACTTCATCTACCCAGATAAGCTGATAGCAGTAAAAAGCGGTGACCCACTCGGACATCCAAACCTTGACTTGGAGACTCGGCAACAAAAATAACAGTAATACCATCGGAGCAAAGAGGTCACAGATTGGCTGTAGTGGAGTTCAGGAAGTCGTGCTGTATCTCGGACTTAGTGGCCTTGGACAGGTCTCGCTGTAGGGGAGAAGAACAGCAGTTGTAAGGTTGAATCCCTCAGTGGAATCCCACAGAAAACAGATTTTTAAAAAACAAACCAGCCAGCTGAGAGCATGCACACCATGTAAGCTCCAGTAAGTGACGTTCAATGTATCTTTGACTTTGAGAGTGTTGGTTAAACAATGCTGAAACTCATCTGTTAGAAATATCTGCCTCTTATTCTTTTGTCGTCTGTATCTGAAGTGGACTTTTCTCAGACACCATCGACATCTTTTAGATCTCGCTGAAGTGAGATGGATTACTCTTGGTTGGCTGTTCAGTGTGGTGAAATTATGTCATTGCCTTATTTGTTCCCACACCTACAAATCAACTTACTATTGGGCCAGGTTTATATGTTGGTTGGTTGCACATTTTTATTGATTTTCTGGTGGCAGAAGCATTGTGAAGGTTGTTAGTTCCAGTTAGTGAGAGAGCCGTTGCACAACAGGAGAAATCTGAGGAAACTGCTTTAAAATCACCCTTAATGGCCATGAGGAGAGCAACTAAAGCCTTTGCGGATTTGAGGAGGAATGCTGAAGACCCATTTTTGTCTGTTGAGTCTGGATATTCGGATTACGCATTTAACATGTTGCTCAACATAGACTGTCAAATCTATGTACAAAGCACCCTGAGCCAGCTGTAGGGGGTTGGGTTGGTTTTCTCTCTCCAGTTTCTAATGACCCTTTATTAAACTAAACTTTAAAGGCACATAAATAATTATTACCAGTTCTGATTAGTTTTAAAGTATGAATAAAACTGCTGCTAGAAACCCTCCGTCTTGTAGAATGATGTTTATATGGTTTTTACCCATTTCTTTTGATTAATGCTTTAGTGAATAAACAGGAACTTTTAAAATCACAACTGGTCACACAAATGGAAATGAAAGGAACTTGAAGATGTGCAACACATATATTAAAAGTCCACAATAAACGGATTATTAATCCTAAACGCATCTGCAGCGTCTCAAGGATTTGTGTCAGTAACCTTGTTTTACTGCCGTTTTACACGCTCTGTGTTACAGTCAACTTTTTACTTTTAATTAGTTCAACTCCCCCACAAGCAAAACACAGGCAGCAGGTATCAGTTTTCACTGCTAAAATTAAATTAACACATTTAATGCAAATTAGAATTAATCCTCTGCAGGGGCATCAAACTCAGATCTTTTAGAAGAACATTTCAAACTCTGAGACACCCCTCCACAGTGGTGGGGTTGCACCTTTCCCCCTTTTGACCAGAAACATGCACTAAAGCAGGAATTAGTCAGGATTGCATAGTTTTATGGTTTCAAACACACATGGACTGAACCGACTCAGTGTTGACCAAGTCCCTCCAAAACATAAACTTATATCATTTAGAATTTCAACAGGATTGTTTGGTTTTAGCACAGCAAAGAGCCAATAAATAAATAATGAAAGCTGGAGTAAATGCATTAGACAAAAGAGTCAATTACCACAAACTCAGAATACGTGCTGGCAACAGAGGCTATGCTGAAGTTATGATGTGGGGTCTGCAACGCACCACTAAGGGGACTCGCCTTCTGCTGGGGCTTGTTCTCCTTGTTGCAGCACTGAACTCTGGGGTGGGGGGGCTTACCGCCACCCGGTGTTCGTGCTGCTGGAGCCTGGAAGATGCACAAGTCGGAGTTATATCGGACACATAAGATGCAATAAGACACAACCCAAACATCCCCATGTTATTGCCTTGTGTAATATTTGGATAAATCCAGTCACAAATCACAAAATGGCACAAAGCTTACTGGGAGTTAATCCCAATTTTTTTTCTCACTCAAATTTCCTGGGATAAAAAAAAAAACTGTGTGTGAAAGGTCCACCGCCAAAAGAATAAAGCCGACCTTGTTAGCGGAGAGCGGGATGCGGGGAGCAGGCGAGTGACACACAGTTCCTCCGTAAGCAGAGCGCATGGTGCTGTTAGAGGTGGCGCTAGAGAGGCTGGACGTAGCATTGAACTGGTGAAAGGCACAGAAAGTGAGTTAGTGGTAAACAATAAAAATAAATGATGAAACAGATCGTTAAAGTTCAGTCAGAAACTCCACCTTTCGTGTTTTATTGGGAGTAGGGGTGCCAACGAATCTGCGTTTGGTTGGAGTTCTTATAGTTGTTCCATACAGCATGTCCTCCTCGGTCTGCTTGCTTTTCTTCATGTGCTGTGAAGATTTTTGGAAAGAGAACGAGTCACCACATTTCATCATAAACACATTTCTGAACGTATGACCTACAGCTTGCTCGCCCACCCTCTCGAGTTTCTCTTTTTCTTTCTCCACTTGGTGCAGCTCCCACTGTTGTGCCACATACTGCAGGAACTTCTGACCATTCACCGTGAACTCCTGGCTGTGCTCCTCCTCCCACGCATCAATATGGTCTTTTAGCTTCTTTTCAAGCTTAAAACAAAATCACAATTAAAACTGCAAAAAGATCTTTGACATTTAGAACGTTTGCAGCCGTCTTCATGTCTTACCTTTGGAAGGTTTTTCTGGAGCTCTGATCTCTGCTTCTCCTCTTTAAGGAGATTTCCTCCTCGGTTTGTGAACCTTGCTGGATCGGTTGCTTTTTTCTATAAATATTTAAGGTAGTAAATGTAATAAAGTCTTAAATATTTAGCTTTGTGAGGTGATTATTGGAAAACAAACATGAAAAAGACCCATGATAATGTGGTACAGTCAAAATCTTCACAACAATGACTACAAGCACCAAAAAAGTGCAAATTATGCCAAGATTATCATTAATTAGACACCTTCTATTAAATAAGTTACGATCTATTTAAACATGGGTACTTTTGGCACTCTAAAAGGTGTTGTGTGTGAACATTCTGCTTAGACAAGATGTTTGTGAAAATCCAGGGATCAGATGAACGTAACCCACCTCCAGCTCCAAGAAGTGTCTCCAATTTTCTTCCCATTTTTGGACACCTTCAAAAAGTCCCTTGTGGTTCTCATAATGCCGTTTTAAACGCTGAATCTCAGCATCATGTAGAGCCAATAGCTCTTCATTAAAATCCCCTAAAAAATAATACAATCAGTAAACATAATTTAATACAGAGTAAAATTAAAATTGTAGCAGCTGCTGGAAAAATAAAATAAATCAAAAGTAAATAAAACTCACCACAATAATATGGCACAAATGCCTGCCGCTGATCAATGCTGAAAAAGCACTTGTCCCAAAACACAGCGATCTCAGAGCGAATGGCATCTATGACCCCGCGAATGTTTCGCAGTTTGAGCTCCTCCAAACGCTCAACTTCTACTTGTAACTAAACAGGAAAAAAAGTATAGAAATAAGATAAAGAGCAAATATAAGTGATCACGCTGAAATTAAAAAACAGCAGCACAGTCTTCTCACCGCCTCCAGGTTCCTTTTCCTACATGAGACCATGTGTTCGTTCAAAGCTTCCCTCTCCACCTGAGGAGTCTGAAGTCGGTCCCACAGCTGCTGGATCTTCTCCCTCAGGGCCTCGCATGTCGCCTCATTTTCTGCTTTATGTTCCTCCAGCTGCAGGAAGAAAATGAAAAAGAGTAGCAGCATTTTAACTGAAGAGTATAAAATGTAGAGGTGCTGAAAAAAAATCGATTCAAGTCTGAATCGGGATTCTTATTTATAAAGATTCAGAATCGATTCACAAAGATTCAGAATCGATTCCAGGAACTCAAATGTTTGGCATGTTACAGGTTTGAGATGCACTTGTTTGGCCTTTGTTAGGAGAGTCAGTACTCCGTTTACTTTTGTGGTCCCATAAATTGGGATGATTTATGTTTGAATCTGCTGATAAGAGGGCACTTGAATGTAATTTTTCCATACTCAGAAATTTGAGATATTCTCATATTTATGTTCTAAGTTGATAAATGAGTACTCAGGATTACTCGTGTTCATTTGAAGTTCTTGATAAATGAGAGAAAACATTTTCCTTTGTAAGAAATCTGAGGCACTTTCATTAAACAGGTTGAGGACTCAAATGTTAAACTTGTTTCTACACATACTTGAAAAGTTTTTGACCGTATTACTTTCAAAGCTACTGTTAGGTAACTACAGATTTGTTATATTTTACAAGGTAAGAAAAAATAAATGTTGCATTTTGGTCAAAAGATGGTTTCTGTTTACAGTTTTAGAATCCCTTTAGTTTACATTATAAATTAGCTTTTTTTTTTAGCATGACCAGTTTAAAGTAAAAAATGTCCCATAGCTTTAACTAACTTGCACAACAAAGTAGTTAATCCTGGAGCTGACACTCTTTGTTAATACTGATTGTGAATCGATTTAAATAGAGAATCAGAATCAAATCAAATTGTGAGTTGCTCTGAGATTCACATCCCTAATAAAATGCATAACACCATCTTTGAAGACCCACGTATAAACCAAAACCAGTTTTTATTAAAACCTTACAGGTGTTGATCACTTGTTTAATCAATATATTTGCAGTGGTCTCTAGTAGAAATTAATGCTTTGTAAGTCGTACTCTGGGGGGAAAAAAGCTCTTGTGAAACATTTACAGGAACTAGAAGTGAGCCCCATCAGAGCTGAGCTTCAGATGGCAGAATTTAGTCTTATTTCCTGATATTTGGACAACTCACCTCTGATTGGATAGCAGCAACACGACTACCACTGACTTACAACATGGATGTTTCTCCACAAATAACACAAGTTGTGTGGTGAAGTTGCTAATGCTAACAGTTAGCTTCTACTACTCGATACGGTCTCTGCGGTTTCTTGGACGCTAAACCAACAGCAGCCTTCCCCGTCGTGAGTCAAGATGGGTGAGACCATGAATGTTAAGTGACAGTGTGACGTAGATCTGTCAGGCTAAATCCTTTTCACAGTCTGTTTTCTATCAGAAGCTAATGCAGGAGATGTGTTTAGGAGACTATTTTTATGTGCAGCCTGGATGAAAAATTCAGAGTAACATTATAACCAGAAATGATCATTAAAAATGTGTTCACACCTTTAATACAATGCAGTGACAAATCCAACATCTCACCTGACAGAGAAGCAGTTTTAGGGATGTGATATTGTCTCTGGAAAGACAGAACGCTTCCTCATCTTCACAGACAACATCCTTCTCAAAGCTGGTCTCTGGGATGCGGTCCAGTTCCTCCATGTGCAGAATGATCTGCTTCTTCAGCTCCATGAACTCTGCATATCGCTGTGCCTATCAACAAAACAGCGAAAAACACAGGATGACCGACTATTTTTAAACAACTTTGTACTTCCATTCGGGCCGTATCATGGAAAATCCACGTTTTGGAGCTTTTTAAAATTGTTATATATCCTCATGAAAAATATAAAAAAATCTGAACTCATTTTTGGCTGCATTCATGCATTTTCCTGCTTCAGCTGCAAATTTCAAGCTTTGTTTTAAAAATCCTGTAACGTGTCAACGGAAACTAATCTTGTCATCAGGCCCTGCTCCCCTCCCGGAAGCTAGCCCCTAGTCTGAAGCACGTCTCCCCTGGCCAGCACAGGATGTGTGTCTAAAGCCTGATTCATGCTTCTCCGTTAGCTCCGCAAGGGACAGACGCGCACGGAAGCGATTTGTTCTCATACTTCTCAGTCTCCTGGGAAGTGTTGCAAAGCAATTCCCCGCCAGCACAACAGAGGGCGTAGCGCTGTTCTGTGGTATCTTGTCATGTATCCGGTCCAAGATAGTGTTTATATTGGGTGTGTCCGAATCCACGGGAAGGATGCTTGTAAGAGTGCGATGATGTCACAGCGCAGCGACGAGTACCGTCCGAATTCCAAGAATACTCATTCTCGCGTCCTCAAATGCGTCCTCACTCCGCTCACATTTCGAGGACAGGTCTGTTGTATCCTCACAGAACAAGGCTATCCCAGCATGCTTTGCGCGCCGGTTGTAGGTTTTCAACAGGCAGAGAAAATGGGGAGAGCAACGAAGTTTTAAACGTAAGTTTGTTAAGAGCTAGCTGTAGAAACCTTAAAAGCTTAAAGCGGTTCAGTTTATAGACATTTTTCGTTTGTATATTTGTTTTTTAAATGACATTTTAGGCAGAAATCAGCCAGAACGAGTTTATCCCAGGGTCCCAGTTATTCCCGTGTGTGTGTGTGTGTGTGGCTAATTAAACCGGTCATTTGTTTTAAGGACAACGGAGCAAAGAAGCATTTTTATTAAGCTTAGAGGTGAAGAGTGAAGCAGTTTACACACACAACCACAGAAGTTATTAGGTGAAAAAAGGCAGATTCATGGAGCAGCCACTGCTCCGTGCATGCACGCACGCATCTTCACAAAACGGAGCACTGACTCCTCCCAGACATGCAGAAGTTGAACTAATCATGTTTTAAAAATGAAACAAAGGGGTTGCTGTTTAACACATTTTTCAAAAATCTTCAGAACAAAGAAAACTTGGAGCTGCATTACAATGTTTTTATGCCGGTTTGCTAACAACGGGTGCATCCGTGTTTACAGAAGCAGGTGCCTTTGGGGATGCCATGGGAGGCGTATAGCTGTGCTTTGTCATAATGTAGTCCCAAGTCTAAAACGGTGCCAGTGTTTCCTTCACGTTACTTATATTCACTTGCAGTCAGTCTGGTTATTTAGGTTACCAAGCAGAATTGGGTTCACTACTGGGTTATTTTACTCACAATGCTAGTTGGATGCATTCACTTACTGTGTTTTATGCTAAGCTAAAGCTAAAAGAGTACAGCCAGGTCAGGAGAATGAGTGGGCTGGTTAAAAATGGTTTTTCCCCACATATCCAATTCTGGGAAATATGCCAGACAAATTTTTTTTATTTTGGGTGGAATATCCCTCCAAGTCACATCTGCTCTAACGATGCCTTTGCATTGATACTAGAGCCGGTATTCTATTAATTACCGATCCTCAAACAGGCCTATGGGATGAAATATAAGAAAACAAAAATAAAAAACACAAAGCTGTAAACAACAGCAGCAGTAACCATTACTGACAAAGAGAATTTTAAGAGTTCTCACCTTCTCCTCATTCTGGTTGGCAATGTGTTGGTGGAAGTTCTCCAGTTGTTCCAGTGAGGGAACGCAGTCTGGGGGGATCCCATATGGCATGGAGCACAAAATGTCACACAGGTCTTGGTCCTGCTCCAGCAAAGCTTTCAACTGGTGCACTCGTCGGGTCTTTTCTTTCACCAGAGCCTCTACTTGGGTGCAGATGTTCTTCTCTTGCTGGAGCACGCTAAGACCCTCCTCATCCTACACATACAGAAAAAAAATAATAAATACATAAAAGGCATGAAAAATCCAACCCATAATGTATATCAAACAGCTGAGATTGAGACTATTTGGTTAAAAACAGGAAATAAATATTTAAATAGAGAGAAAAATGTTGTGTCAAAAACTACCAGGCTGAACGAATCCTGTTACCTCAAAGAGAGGAATCTGGAGATCCAAGCAGAGTTTCTCCATCTCCAGCCTACATGTTTGAATGCTGGTCAGTAGCTTCGCTTTCAGAGATTCCTCTTCTTTAATCATCATGTCCAGCAAGTTCTGTAGGACAAACAAATATGGAGCCATTACAAAAGCTGGTGTGAACCACTCTCTATATAGGATTTGAGCCAGAAAGCATACGGACATTTATTCTTTAAGGACCCAGTTAAAAACTTTTTTTCTTAATACCGTATTTTCGGAACTATAAGCCGCTACTTTTTCCCACGCTTTGAACACGGCTGAGGTGCGCAGCTTTAAAAGGATGGATGCTAGAAAGGAGTGCTACGGAAAGCACCCAGGAGGATTTTTTCACAGTAAAATGGCGCTGCGTGTTTTCACCGCTTCACTCCGGGAGGATGACAGCAACACGGAGAGCGACACCGACAGTTAAACTACGTTTTCAATTCAGTGGATATCTGCGGTTTATAGCCCGATGTGGCTTATATTGAGGTGCGCTCTAAAGTCCGGAAATTACGGTAAATGCCTCGTGAGTTGGTTTCTGTGGACAAAAAGCTCTGCCGTTTCTGTTTTAGGAAACAGAAGTTGGCTCGGAGGATTGAGGAGCAGGATGTGGCAGGATTTGGAGTCTTGTTTCTGATGTTTGGATATCTGGTCTCTGATTGGCCAAAAGCAATGTATCTCTACAACTGACTGTTTGCATTGCAATGTTGAGGTTTCATCTCCATAAATAACAAGGCTGAAGGTGGTTTGCATGTTGTGGAGAGTTGCTAATGCAAACGGTTAACTTCTACTAGCTGAGATGTACTCTACTCTCTCCTGGATGCTAAACCAACAACAGCCTTCCCCAGTCGGAAGCCAAGATGGGTGAGTCCATGAATGCTAATGTTCATTGTGACTTATATCTGTCTGGCTTTCCCAATTTGAGTGCATCCGTCTATTTTCTATCAGCGGCTAATGCGGGAAATGGGGTAGAAGACCTTTTTCCACATTTAGCCAGCAAGTCAAAATTCAGAATGACTGAACATATTTCAAAATAAGTAAATAAGGTTTCGCAGTGAACCTAGTCTTAAAAATCCATTAAAACCAATCCTGGTCACAGGAGCCGCTTCCTTGAGCAGGTTAGTGTCTAATTGCCCACTAGCTATTGAGGTCGCTCTGCAAGTTTATGAAACCAAAGTGGTTTATAAATACAATTAGTACAAGTCATAGTCTTAGAATTGCACACTCATTCTAGGGATTTCTTTTTTTGCATCAGAAGCAATTGAATAATTGTCTTCGTCTTCCTCCGCTTATCCGGGTCCAGGTCGCGGGGGCAGCATCCCAACTAGGGAGCTCCAGGCCGTCCTCTCCCCGGCCTTGTCCACCAGCTCCTCCGGCAGGACCCCAAGGCGTTCCTGGACCAGATTGGAGATGTAACCTCTCCAACGTGTCCTGGGTCGACCCGGGGGCCTTCTGCCGGCAGGACATGCCCGAAACACCTCCCCGGGGAGGCGTCCAGGAGACATCCTGACCAGATGCCCAAACCACCTCAACTGGCTCCTTTCGATCCGGAGGAGCAGCGGTTCTACACCGAGTCCCTCCCGAATGTCCAAGCTCCTCACCCTATCTCTAAGGCTGAGCCCGGCCACCCTACGGAGGAAACTCATTTCGGCCGCTTGTATCCGCGATCTCGTTCTTTCGGTCATTACCCAAAGCTCATGACCATAGGTGAGGATTGGGACGTAGATCGACCGGTAAATCGAGAGCCTGGCTTTCTGGCTCAGCTCCCTCTTCCCCACGACAGATCGGCTCAGCGTCCGCATCACTGCAGACGCCGAACCAATCCGCCTGTCGATCTCCCGATCCCTCCTACCCTCACTCGTGAACAAGACCCCGAGATACTTAAACTCCTCCACTTGAGGTAGGACCTCTCCCCCGACCCGGAGGTGGCAAGCCACCCTTTTCCGGTCGAGAACCATGGTCTCAGATTTGGAGGTGCTGATCCTCATCCCAGCCGCTTCACATTCGGCCGCGAACCTACCCAGCAAGAGCTGAAGGTCAGAGCTGGATGAAGCTAGGAGGACCACATCATCCGCAAAAAGCAGAGACGAGATTCTCCTGCCACCAAACTCGACACACTCCACACCACGGCTGCGTCTAGAAATTCTGTCCATAAAAGTGATGAACAGAACCGGTGACAAAGGGCAGCCCTGGCGGAGTCCAACCCTCACTGGGAACAGGTCCGACTTATTACCGGCTATGCGGACCAAACTCACGCTCCTCTGGTAAAGGGACTGAATGGCCCTTAACAGAAAGCCACCCACCCCATACTCCTGGAGCGTCCCCCACAGGGTGCCCCTGGGGACACGGTCATAAGCCTTCTCCAAATCCACAAAGCACATGTGGATTGGTTGGGCAAACTCCCATGCTCCCTCCATCACCCTTGCAAGGGTATAGAGCTGGTCCACAGTTCCACGGCCAGGACGAAAACCACATTGCTCCTCCTCTATCTGAGATTCAACTATCGATCGGACCCTCCTCTCCAGTACCTTGGAGTAGACCTTTCCAGGGAGGCTGAGGAGTGTGATCCCCCTATAGTTGGAACACACCCTCAGGTCACCCTTCTTAAAGATGGGGACCACCACCCCGGTCTGCCACTCCCTAGGAACTGCCCCCGATGACCACGCAATGTTGTAGAGACGTGTCAACCATGACAGCCCTACAACAGTTGTAGGGCTGAATAATTGTGATATTTAATAAAGAAGCTTCAGGGTAAAGAGTAAGTACATCAGTTTTCAATGCAAAGTATTTATGTACCAACACTTTAGACATATGTGGTTTATTTTTTTACCGTGTCCTGTCTGGCTGTGAAGCAAGCAGAATTGATGTCTGAATGCTGGTAACAAGCCTTACAGATTTATTCTCAGGTGGAGCATCAAAGCGTTTGCTTTTAATGTCACGCCTGATACTTGAAACTTTATTGTTATTGTTGTTGAATGCTTTGTAATTCCGACCAGACACGGAGACAGAGGTGAAAGAGAAAGGAAAAGAAAAGGTGGGGAGAGGAGGGGGGGGGGGGGGTTCCACAAAAATAAATAATGAACAAGAGTCTGCTTCTAGACCTGCAGAAAAAGACAAAAAAAAAACAAAAGGACACAAAAAAAGGGACACAACAACAATACAACAAGATCTACCTATCACTGCGTCAACTTGATGAAAAAAAAAAAATATATATATATATATATATAATCAACATTGCTTAACTGAAGAATCACGATAAATCACAATGCATTAAGTGCCCACCATAGTCTTAAGACCTGTGTTTAACGTGCCCAAGCCCATACTTTTTGAGAGCACCATGTGAGCACCTGTGTGTGTACACGCGCTTGTTTATTTAAGGTTTCTCTATAGAGCTCCGGGAGTTGACGTCACTTTTCCCGGCATGCAACAGTTCAAATCGAAACGGCGCCATATTGGCATGCAGAAGCCGGCAGCTGGACTATTTGTTATTGTCCAAAAACTCAATCAAACGGGAAATATGGTAGATTCCTGTTGTGCCCCAGGATGCAGAACAGACGCGGACGACATAAGGAATGAGCCATCTACAGGATTCCCCAAGATCCGGAGTGCCGCAAACGTTGGATCAAACAATTGTAATAAAACGCGCTAGTGACCGGGCGAAAATGAAACTGTGGGATCCCGAGAGTAAAGGATTTCGCTTATGCAGCGACCACTTCATATCAGGTACTTAAACCAACGTTTCCTCAACTGTGTGTGGTGTTTATTTTAAATGCTTTTATTATGATTCTTAGTGGGCTTCCTAAACTTATTTTGGCGTGGCTTTTTCTGTCTTAATACTCATAGCAGCAAGTAAACATCACGTAAAACGTTGCCTCGTGAGTTCTGCGTGCTGCCGTTTCCGTGTTTTATGATCACAGCAATTAACCGGCTAAGCTGCATTTAATTTTTAAGCAATGGTTGATCAATTGTCAGATCACACACCGAGACTACTTACGTGTAAATCTGTTATTTGTCCGTCCATCCATCCATTTTCATCCGCGTATCCGGAGTCGGGTTGCGGGGGCAGTAGCATGACTTCCCTCTCCCCAGCCGCCGGAGCCAGCTCCTCCGGGTAAATCCCAAGGGGTTCCCCGGTCAGGTCCGGTGTTGTGCCAGTAAGAAGCCCGCTCCGACAGCTTCTGGCGTCGGAGCGGGCAGTAGAGTCGAGGGTCCCAGACCTTCTCCCCAGCTCCTCCGGCCGGGGGGATCCCAAGGGGTTCCCCCGGCCAGGTCCGGTGTTGTGCCGGTAAGAAGTCCGCTCCGACATCTTCTGGCGTTTTTAAAAAGTATCCCAGGGGCACGGTAAGGGTCGGAGATGTTTATTAATTTCTGACTATATAAAACGATTTCTTCTGTTTTAAAGTGTGAAGTAAACTCCGACGAAGTAAAATCCAAGCGGATCCCGTTCATGTTCATGGTTACATCGTGTTTGTTTACCTTTTTTGCATGCCAAAATGGCGTCCACTAACTGAGAGTCAAGTGGGGTCCGGAGCTCTATAGGAGCGTCCAACAGAGAGTGTGAGGGACCACAGATCCGCCCCCCAAAGATGCGCAGGAGACGGGGGGAGCTCCAAGTCCCAGAGATCCAGGCGCTGCCCCAGAACGCAGGAACCCCAAGGAGACTGCAACCAGGAAGGCCTCAGCCCCCCTCGAGAGGCACAGAGGATCGCCCCGGGGGGCCACAACCAGCAGCCGGCAGAGCCCCTGGAGATATCAGCGGCAAGCCCACAGGCCCGCCCGCAGCCTCCCACCCCCTAGCCGGCCAAGCCCGGGACCCAGCGACCCGGGACCCAGGGGCGACCACCCCCGCCGGGGACCCAGCAGAGCCCAGGGACCCAGACCCCACCAGGCAGCCACCGGGATCTATCAGGCAGATGCCAAAATCTTAAACCCCCAGACCCGGTTGCCATGAACACTCAGGCAGACCAAGGCACAAGCCCCCACACCAGGTGTGGCAGGGGGAGGGGGGACAAAGATCTATATCATCAAGAGAAGTTCCAGGAGAGGGAAGGACCCAAAGGCCCCACCTGACATATACAGTCATACACAAACACAGTCAC